GCCAGTGTCTGTAAATGTGAAAGTTGAGTTTAACGATTTGAATAAGGAAGGACATCTCCTCACCTTGTCGGTTCTTCCACATGTGCTTTTCGAGGTATGCATCCAAGTTACTTGTACATTTCTCTTTTTCGCGTCTCTTTTTCGCCCCGGAATTGTCCTGCTTCTTTTTCAGGTGCTACAGTCAAAATCTGTTCTGAATGATGCCCTCGTTAGTTTTGAAGCTGCTTTGCGGAAGTGGACTGAACCAGCTGAGCAAGAGACTTTCCGTACATACCTTGCTTGTATATTCGTTGTTGCTGGAGGCGAGGAGAATCCAATGAGTGAATTAAGCAAACTCGTGCAAACGCAACATACGCAACAGGTTTAGTTTCTTTCTGAGCGGTTTTTTATTTGTCAAATGTGTTTTCTAAATCACTTGTCTTAGTATTATAAGAGCCTTGTAATCATCGCACCCACCAAAAGATGCATAATTCATTCATTAATTGCAGTGTTTTCGCTCTCAAGGGATTCAGAATTTAAAGGCAGAATTTGCGATAAGCCAGCGAGAACTTTGTTAGTAGCGGGGTTAGTAACTGAACTGTCGTGCCGCTTGAATCGCTGGTGAATAAAAGAAACAAAGGTGACAGTCGAAAACGCTCAAAATCAGGCTATTCCCGTCATGGGCGAAAAATTATTATATTACTTTTGGAGAAAAGTGTTCACTAGTTCGATCAGTTGGTGATCACTTGGCGAAAATGTCTTCTTAGTTCCAAGTTTCCCTTACATCTTCGTTTCGTTTTTCTGTATATTGAAATTATAACAGTGTTTCGGCCCAAATGAATCTGTTGTTGAGCTCACTGAAATAATTTAAACCAATTCATTTGCTGATAACTACAGTCCATTTCGAAGAAGCTCGGATCGCCTATGCAGTTAACACATTACTCATACTGGTTGTATCCACAGCTTAGCCTTCAATATGCGGCCACTATTTTTTTTATAATATCGGTTTGCGCAATACACAGTTCCTTTTTTCTTGCATTTCATCTTTCTGTTCTTCGAGCAAATAAGAAGCGAACCATAGACTAGATTATCCAGAGGTCTTCAAAGGCGATATTTTTTCTCTTATGTTGTGTTTTTGTAGAGGTTCTCGATGTCATCGACACTGCGATTGTCGTGACGAGCCCTTTATCAGCAGCGGTCGACTCCTCTTCCTCGCGTAGGTTCTCGAGAAGGTGGGGCATAGAAGTGTGTGCTTGTATTAAGCAGCATCACTCTATCTTTGGCTGACGTAAGGGACAGTTCACGACCTGCTCATATTTCTCTTTCTCCTCACAATAAGAACTACTATTACCAACAGAACCAATGTTCTGTCGTGTCAGATAGGACAAAACCCAGCTTCAGCACACGTTCGATCGCTCGACAGGAAACTGGTTTTTTTCATAATTCGTTCACTGATTTTCTCTTCTTATGGACATGAATGGGGCGGAGGTGATGTAGTGGCCAGTGACACGCTTACTACGCGCGCGGTCAGGAGGTCGAACCCCTGACCGGCTCCCGCAAGGCCAGCCAAGCCTTCTGCCACTCGAGAGGAGGTAAATCGGTACCATATTCGTGGAGAAGGATTAAAGAGTTGACTTCTACCTCGACCAGCCCCGAATATTATCGCATAAGCCACATAGCATCCAGCAAGCCCTACGGCTGATGGAAGTAGATGCGTGCCGCTTCCGAAAAAAGGATCGATCAGCTACGAAGGTGTTACCTTTTTCCTTCCAAGGAAATGAAGCTCCTAATCTGAATAACTGATATAACAATAATAAAGGTTCACAAAACTTTCATTAATAAATCCTGTTACACAGGTCAATCATTGTTTGCATTTGTGTAGCAGGATTGCTTGGTAAATTTGTAAATTCAGAAGACACTATCAATGGTTTTAATCGTTTAGTTGTAGGTGAATTGATCATTTACCTGAAAGTGCTTTTTTTATATGGTAGGTAGTATTGCGGCGAATGCGTGATAACTCAGGATAACGTGATTCAAACTAGACGGTAATTCACTTTATATCTGCGATTTACTTTGGAAATCTTGAGTTAGAAGTTCGCAAGGTGTGTTCTTACGTATTCATTTCGTTTCTTGTCTGTCAAGCATATTCTTTTCTTGATCACTGCGCTATTTAGCCAATCCGTCACTAGTTTCCATGTTGCATCGCTTCATGTGTAGCTCAAAGTATAAACCGAACAGCAAATCGCTGAACTTGCTATTTTGCTATTTTTAGCACTCCAGTGGATCACCTGTTCTGTCAGCTGATCCGTTAGGCATTTTTTTATTGCGTTCTAGCCGCTCTTTCAAAATTTTGTTCCCCTTTTCACCGATAATTCTTAATAATTTCCACGACAGTAGATTGTCATCGGAAATGTCTTCTGGTCTTCATACCGATCATGTAGATCAATTTGATTCCGTTATGTATGTTCTGCGATTCATGTTTCTTACAAATACAAATACACGTGGGAATTTCTATGAGACCAAAATATCAGCTTTATATTTTGATCTCACACAAAGAAAACGGGAA